GACAGATTTTGCCTAACAGTGGGAGAGACTTAAAGGGAAATGATTAAACAGAATCTGTGCATAGTCACTGTATACACCCACATTACTTCTACTTACTATGTCACAAGTGACAGTCTCACAGACACACAAACCTCAGAATTTTAAAAATGTAAAATGTTTCCATTACATGTTTGTTCTGCACACCAAAAGTGATAACTTTTATGTCTGAGCCTACCCAGAGTACCCCATTCCCCAACATCAGGGTCCTCAGAGTTCCCCCCCCCCAACACCAGGGTCTCCAGAATCACCCCTTTTACATTAGGGACCACTCACCTTACATCATGGTACCCAGTGTCACCCCCCTTACATCAGGATCCCCAGAGTCCCCCTCCATACTTCAGGATCCTCAGAGTTGCCCCCCTTACATTTTGGTCTCCAGAGCCACCCACCTTACGTCAGGGTTCAGAGTTACCCTCCTCACATCAGTATCCCCAGACTTTCCCTAGTTGCATCAGGTTCCCAAAACCCCCCTTCTTACATCAGGGTCCTCAGAGCAATCTCCCTTACATCAATGCCCTCAGAGCTTCCCACCCTTACAACAAGGTCCCCCGAGCAACTTCTTCCTTACATAAGGGACTGCCCATCTTCCATCAGGGTTCCGAGAGTCCTCTTCTTCAAATCAGGATCCCCAGAGTCCTCATTAAATTAGGGTCCACAGAGCCCCCCTCCTTAAATCAGGGTCCCCAGAGCCTCCCCCTTTACATCAGGGTCCCCAGAGTCACCCCTATCTTACATTAGGGATCCCAGACCCTCCTTACATCAGGGTCCCCAGAGCCACCCCCCCTAACATCAGGGTCCCCAGAGCCACTTCCTCCTTACATCAGATTCCCCAGTGCCCCCCCCCCTTTTTACATCAGGGTCCCCAGAGTCCCCCTCCGTACATCAGGGTCCCCAGAGCACCCCTCCGTACATCGGGTCTTCAAAGCAATCTCCCTTACATCAGGGTGCTCAGAACTACTTTCTCCATACATCAGCACCTACCCGCCTTACATCAGGGTTCCCAGAGACACCTCCTTTTACCTCAGGGTCCCCTGAGCCCCCCTCCTTACATCATGGGCCGCGGAGCCACCCTCCTTACAAAAGGGTCTCCAGAGCCCCTCTCCTTACAACAGGGTCCCCGGAGCCCCCCCTTACTACAGGGTCTCTGGAGCTCCCCTTACAGCAAGGTCCCCAGAGCCCCCCTTCTTACATCAGGGTTCCTAGAGGGCCTCCTTCTTACATCAGAGTCCTCGGAGTCACCCCCTTCTTATCAGGGCTCCCAGAGTCCTCTTCCTTACATCAGGTTCCCCAGAACCACCCCCTTGCATCAGAGTCGCTCCTCATATCAGGGTTCCTAGTGCCCCCCTCCTTACATTGGGGTCCCAAGAGCCACCCCTTTTCTACATTAGGGTTCCCAGACCCCCTACATCAGGTTCCCCAGAACCACTTGCTTGTACCAGAGTCCCCAGAGTCAACCCCCATTATCAGTGCTCTCCTCCTTCCGTTATGGTCCCCCCGATGGTCCCGGAAACACCCCCTTCTTACATCAGGGTCTCCAGAGTCACTCCTCTTATTATTACTAGTGCTAAATTTTACAGCTTCCTCTTGATTGTTAGGGAGGCGACACCAGCCAGTATCCTAACAACCAGTGATTCATCTCAGCATTTGCAGCTGGGGATTCTTGACGGACAGGTACATATAAACAAACAGTGTACAGAAAAAAAAAAACAGTGTGAGGTCCCCCCAAAATTCTTAGCAGGCCCTTTAGGTCTGGTTTGGATCTTGAGAATGGCTCCATAAAAAAAAAAAAACTGCATGGTGTTGTTCCCCCCCCCCCCCCAAATTTAATTCCAGACTGTTCAGGTCTGGTATTTTAAGGGGGAACGCACACAATATAACAAGAGAAAAATCCACATCAGGCCCTTATTTGAGCATGCAGCCTGGGTGGTCAAGAAAGGGGAGGTGAACGTGTGCCACCCCTCCTTGAACCATCCCAGGCCACATTTTCTTAAAATTGGGGGGAGGTGCCTTACCATCATGTTTATGAGGACAAGGGTCTTTTCCCTACAACCTTAGCTCGATGGTTGTGGGGGTCTGCGGGTGGAGGGCTTTAATAAGGGGGCTGCCAGATACTGCCCCATGTGAATTATTAAGGGGTACATTGAACCCCTACTCATTCAAAAAAAAAAAAAGAATGCACTCTCAAAAGAAACACTAAATGACTAAACACTTGGCAAGTCCTTTACCGATGAAAAAAAAAAAGTCACAGAATGTACATTTATTGTCAATCATGTTGTCCTGCTGTCAATCATGTCCACTGATAAGCGGCAATATGCATCTGATCCCACCCCTTCCCTTGTACCGAATGACATCTCATGGTCCCCGCCACCAAAGTAAGTAAGGGGACAGGGTCACCCGTAGATGTCACTGGCCAAATATGGACTTTTCCATATTTGGTCAATTATGTCACTGGGAGACCTCAACCCTTTTTTTTAATTTACTGGCAGGAACCAGGAAATGTAATTCAGATGATTTCCGTCCTTTGTTTACTTTAGCTTTGGAAAATTAGCTTAGTTTGGGGGAGAGGGATAGAGAAGGAGAAACACTCTGCTGCATAATTCAAGTGTTTCCAATCACCTTCATGGCCACAGGTGTATAAAATCAAGCACCTAGGCATGCAGACTGCTTCTACAAACATTTGTGAAAGAATGGGTCACTCTTAGGAGCTCAGTGAATGCAAGTGTGGCACCGTGATAGGTTGCCATCTGTGCAATAAGTCCATCTGTGAAATTTCCTTTATACTAAATATCCCATGGTCAACTGTTAGTGGTATTATAGAAAAGTGGAAGCAACTGGGAGCAACAACTCAGCCACAAAGTAGTAGGCCACGAAAAATAACAGAGCGGGGTCAGCGCATGCTGAAGTGCGCAGAAGTCACAGAGCCTGCAGAGCCAATAGCTAAAGACCTCCAAACTTTGTGTGACCTTCAGATTAGCAACAGTGCATAGAGAGCTTCATGGAAAGAGTTTCCATGACAGAGCAGTTGCATCCAAGCCTTACATCACCAAGTGCAATGCAAAGCATCAGATTCAGTGGTGTAAAGCAGTGGAGATGTGTTCTCTGGAGTGATGAATCACACTTTTCTGTCTGGCAATACAATGGACATGTCTGGGTTTGGCGGTTGCCAGGAGAATGGTACTTGCCTGAATGCACTCTGCCAAGTGTAAAGTTTGGTGGAGGGGGGATTATGGTGTGGGGTTGCTTTGTAGGGGTTAGGCTTGGCCCCTTCGTTCCAGTGAGGGGAACTCTTAAAGCGTCAGAATACATTTTGGACAATTTCATTTTTTTCAACTTTGTGAGAACAGTTTGGGGATGGCCCCTTCCTCTTCCAACACAACATGACTGCATACCAGTGCACAAAGCAAGGTCCATAAAGACATATTAGCAGGTTTGGGGTGGAGGAACTTGACTGGCCTGCACAGAGTCCTGACCTCAACCCCATAGAATATCTTTGGGATGAATTAGAGTGGAGACTGCGAGCCAGGCCTTCTCGTCCAACATCAGTGCCTGACCTCACAAAATGCCCTTCTGGAAGAATGGTCAAACATTCCCATAGGCACACTCCTGGCCCTTGAGGACAGCCTTCCCAAAAGAGTTGAAGCTGTTAAAGCTGCAAAGGGTGGGCCAACTCAATATTGAACCCTACGGATTTAGACTGGGATGCTCTTAAAGTTCATGTGCATGTAAAGGCATCCCAATACTTTTCAGCAATATAGTGTATGTACATACAGTATGTAACCCACAGTTTTCACATTAGTCACCAACAAAATAAAGTTAATAACCACTCTTATTTATATAACACTACATTATATTGTTTTTGCAAATTCCATTTTCCACCAATCTATTCAAACATATGGTCAGCTAAGAATTGACTTATCAAGTACCAAAAAGATAAAACAAGAGGCAAAGGAAATGGTCACATCTGTAATTTGTGGTTAAATCCTATTAACAGGATACTTTGGATAGATAAGGAAAGCTGCAGCTGCAGGCTGGCTTTTTGGATGTGCAGTATTGTGTACCAGTGTTTCTTATTTCTGACTCTGAAGTTAAATAATGTTAAAAAAATTATTTAATCCACATCATTCATTTTTTTCAGCAGATCACACAAAAGGTAGTCTTGTAAAAATAACCTGTTGATCCTTCTGGAAAGAAGTTGACAAACACTTGTCTTTACAATAAGTATACTGCCCAATCCTGGCCAATATTTAAGCACCAATTGGATACTTAGACAAGGATTGAGTGTTTTGGAGTTATTGTAATAGGTGAGATTGATTGGCTCACACCATCAGATTTTCCAACCTGGGTAATCATGCTCTCTTCAGTATTACCCAAAAACGCTCTACTTCAGTCTGTTGGTGGGTCAAGGAAATGGCAGCAACAAGTTCTGGCACTATAAAATTCCCATGCATTGCGCTGTTTACGTTTTGTAACATAATCTATTAAAATGTCACAAGTGACATTTGAATACATTTCTATTTATCTCAGAGATGTTGTATTCGCATTACAACTGACTGTGCTGAGAAAAGTTCTGCATGCAGTACTGTTTTTCAGTGCACACCATCGCAACACTCTGATATGAACTGACACAATTGGAAACAAAGCAATTTGCCCTGTCTAGGTGTTGGCGTGGGGCTGGAAATAGTGGACAGTCTAGACCCCAAGCATCTGGTGTGAATGAGCCAAGCACAAGCAGCAGAACTCACATGCAAATCTCAATTTTTCTTCTAAAAGTTGAGCTGGCCTGTCTCATCCCACTGTCTGATCCTTCCATATTCAGTGAGGCCATCCATCATATTAAACATGTCAAGAAGGAAATATGGAGCTACCATTTCTGACCTACATCTGAAAATCCTAGTTGGCTGGCTGTTAGTTACTGATCTAGAACAAGTATGAAGACCATGAAATATTTAGACAGTACTCACCTTTACATGATGGATAAGCCTTTGCTGAATATTGACTTTGTATGTTTTTACACCCAATTCCTTTGCCACTCGTAAAATACGATTTTGAGTTGGTCCAACATATGCTCCACCGACATCAACATACTGGACTTCTTTGTTCTGTATGACAGTAAAACATTTATTCATCATAATCAAATAGCATTTAGGAAAAGTAGTTTTGGGGGATTCGTATATACTGTATGAAAACATATATACATACATTGGTCACAATTCAATGTTTAGTGTCAATATAGCATTTTAAATCATGTTTCTGGTTCCAAACTATTTGCCAACACACTAGCCAGAAGCTTAAAGCCCATCCTTTAACAGATAATATGCCCTGACCAAACTGACTACCTGCTAGGGAAGCATGTAACAACACCATCCACACATTAAATCTGATCTCTCACAGGCGTTCAAAATTTCTACCTATGGTTTTCCTGTTTGAGGATATGGAGAAAGCCTTCGACCAGTAGATGGGGACTTACCTAGACATACAGTGAGGAACAAAAGAATTTGAACACCCTGTGATTTTGCAAGTTCTCCCACTTAGAAATCATGGAGGGGTCTGAAATTCACATTGTAGGTGCATTCCCACTCTGAGAGACAGAATAAAAAAAAAAAATTCAGGAAATCACATTGTATTGTATATGTCTTGCACTGCTGAACATAAGTATTTGAACACCTAAAAAAATCAGTGTTAATATTTGGTACAGAAGCCTTTGTTTTCTATTACAGAGGCCAATTGTTTCCTGTAGTTCTTGACCAGGTTTGCACACACTGCAACAGGGATTTTGGCCCACTCCTCCACACAGATCTCCTCTAGATATGTCAGGTTTCAGGGCTGTCACTGAGCAACACGCAGTTTCAGCTCCCTCCAAAGATGTTCTATTGGATTAAGGTCTGGAGACTGGCTAGGCCACTCCAGAACCTTGATATGCTTCTTACGGAGCCACTCCTTGGTTATCCTTGCTGTGTGCTTCGGGTCATTGTCATGTTGGAAGACCCAGCCACGACCCATCTTAAATGCTCTAACTGAGGGAAGGAGGTTGTTGCTCAAAATCTCACAATAAATGGCCCCATTCATCCTCTCCTTAATACAGTACAGTCCTGTCCCCATTGCAGAAAAGCACCCCCAAAGCATGATGTTACCACCCCCATGCTTCACAGTAGGGATGGTGTTCTTGGGATGCAACTCATCCTTCTTTTTCCTCCAAACACAACGAGTAAAGTTTAGACCAAAAAGTTCTACTTTGGTCTCATCTGACCACATGACTTTCTCCCATGCCTCCTCTGGATCATCCAGATGGTCATTGGCAAACTTCAGACGGGCCTGGACATGTGATGACTTGAGCAGGGAACCTTCCGTGCAATGCATGATTTGAAACCATGATGGCGTAGTGTTTCTACCGACAGTGACCTTTGAAACTGTGGTCCCAGCTCTCTTCATGTCATTGACCAGCTCCTCCCTTGTAGTTCTGGGCTGATTCCTCACCTTTCTCTTCATCAGTGATACCCCACGAGGTGAGATCTTGCATGGAGCCCCAGTCCGAGGGAGACTGACAGTCATCTTTAGCCTCTTCTATTTTCTAACAATTGCTCCAACAGTTGATCTATTTTCACCAAGCTGCTTGGCAATTGCCCCGTAGCCCTTTCCAGCCTTGTGGAGGTCCACAATTTTGTCTCTGGTGTCTTTTGACAGCTCTTTAGTCTTGCCCATGGTAGTAGTTGGCATCTGACTGACTGTGGGGTGGACAGGTGTCTTTAAAGAGCTCAGACAGGTGCTACTAAGTTAGATTAATGAGTGGAGTAGAGGTGGACTTTTTAAAGGCACAGTAACAGGTCTTTGAGAGCCAGAATTCTTGCTGTTTCTTAGGTGTTCAAATACTTATGTTCAGCAGTGCAAGACAAATAAATTCTTTAAAAATCATACAATGTGATTTCCTGATTTTTTTTTTAAATTCTGTCTCTCAGAGTGGGAATGCACCTACAATGTGAATTTCAGACCCCTCCATGATTTCTAAGTGGGAAAACTTGCAAAATCGCAGGGTGTTCTGTTATACTTCTGTTCCTCACTGTAGGTCTACTTTCTCATTTGCCAGTCTGAATTCAAGTCCTGTTTTCCAACCCTACAAAGTCTATCAAGATCAAGAACATTTTTATCCCAGTAGTGTTTGATAATCAGCACCAGGACCAGGCAGGACTGCCCTGTTATCCCTGCTGGAAATCGTTTTTAAGAAAAATCAGGATGAATGCTGAATATCAAGGTCTAACATAGGGGAATACTAACCACAAAAGTGCAGCTTGCATGGATGATTTACTCTTTCATATTACTAACCCTATCATTACCATATCCGGGTACCTTGACAACCGAATTCCAGCAAAACTCTCTCTCTCCTAATGGAATGGAAAATTCCCCTGCTATCTAGCTCAAACCACAATGACAGAAACAACAACCTTCTCATGGTTCAATAGATGCAATATAGTAAAGATGAATATGATGCCCAAATTGCTTTATCTCTTACAGACACTATTACCACCTTACCTCCAGTGACAATGCCAATCAGAATTTCTTACGTTCATATGGGCCCACTGACTCCCTTAGAATTAACAAGTACCTTATTAGCATCTGTAAACTAAAAGGTGGTGTGGGTTTTCCCAGATCCATTCTTTTTACCATATAGCAATGCATCTAGCTAGAATAAAGCTGGACATATACTGAGCGAATTTCGTCCAATTCTTGATGAAGAATCCAAAATTTGTTTTCTGGGTGGTCCTAGTGGCATCCTCCATCACAACACCCTTCAATTTAAAAACTGAATAAGCCGGCCAGACAATTGTCAGTCAAACAGCAGCTGCATCTGACTGGATTTGGGTACTCAGAATACAATAGCCAGCACTGCAGATTTGCCCATCCATGCTGCATAATCTATCTTAGATTATGCATTCCTTGAGGGTTAGGGACTGATGTGAATGTACAATATATATGTAAAGTGCTGCATAATTTGACGGCGCTATATAAGTACCTGTAATAAATAAATAAATATCAGAGTACTGCCAGTTTTAGTGACTGGCGTGCACACAAGAACACAAACAATGGGTAGCATTAGAACACAACCAATGCCCCCGGCTGAGGCCTTGTGGGTCCCCGATACAGAACACACCCTGCTGAAAAAAACATCCCACCAAGTTCATAGTAGCTGTCAAAAACTTTTGCACACTTGGCAAGCACCTCTATCTCTCTGCCATGTCTCCCTATTTTCTTCCGGGTTACACAGAACAAACATTTACATTGGATAGAACAAGAGATTTACAAGGCAGAACATTTTTATCATAAAGCTGGGCAAACATTGAAAAGCCCCAACTGGACTAAAAACTTCCATAACATAGGCTTCTGAGAAAAATGCAATAAAACCATTGTCTAACTTTCAACACCAAAATGTAATCAGACGTAAATGATCATTTCCCCTCCATGGGACCCTGTCTTATGCTTATGTGCTTCTTCTAGCTAATAAATCTTTCCCCACAACCTTGTTCATTCAAACATGATAACGAGATCTAAATATGTCATTTACTGGCTGACAGCAGGAACACACCTTACTCTTTAGTCCATTTGCAATAAATACCAAGAAATACATTTTAACACATTTGTATGCTCTCTGTCCTTGCAAAAAATCACAAAGCTGTAGAACTGTTGGAGGTGTAAGAAGGAGCAACGGAAGCTCCTACACATATATTTTACTATCTACTATGCTAAGTCTACTATACTATCATCATGCTAAGTCTGCAATATAATATATACGTTCACTGACATATCCATACAAAACAGGCTTAAAAAAGATTTCCTTCATGCCACAGAGCTGTCTAGGAAAATATATCAGAATTAGCTCTTAGAAGACCTGCTAAATGCAGGAAAAGCTTTTATAGAAAAAAGTTAGCGGAAACAATCTTCTCTTCCAACACAATTCCAGTGGTTTACCAGAGTGAATGATATAATTCAAATAAGAACTTAATGGCCTCTCAAGGACATAGATTTTAAAAATTTCGATGCACCTGGTTCTACTGGAATCAATATCAACAGTCTGTTGCTTACTTAGTGCCCCAAAGATTAGACCGCTTCCAGAGAGATCCCCCTTCTAAACACATAACGAATACTGAGTAGAGGGGGCATACATTCTGGAGAAAAGAGAACCTTCTGTGCCTTACCACACCTCTTTTCTCTACCTTACTATTCTGCTTTTAATACTTATACCACCCTCTCTCCTTTTGTTTTGTTTTTACACATCCCGAGAGCCAACCGATATACAACATTAGCTTTGCTTACATGCAACCCATTCTTCACAAAACATTTCATGCCTTTTTGTAACAATTTAATGAGAATGACTCTTGTTTATGCATCCATTCTGAAAGATCTAAATCTATCAGTAAGGAATATGTCTGTACCATTATACCTACTGAATGCTTTAGCTTTGAATTCTTTAACTGTAGCAACAGAATAAGTCATAGACTAGTTCCAAGAGTGCTTGGAACATTACCTTAACACAATACATCCTGTAGCTTAAACAAATGGCTAAAGAGACTAATGTTGATGCCCAATTTACAGATACATTGTTAAATGTTATTATCACACCTATAAATGATCATACTATGTAGTTGGTTAAACTATGCCGATATAACCAGGCAGAATTCTACAGCTTTGCCAGCAATGAGTTGAGTTGGTACTCAAAAACAGAGAGGTCTTAAAGGGTTAATTGTCTTGTGGTTCGGAGCTTGTGCTTAGCTTCATATTCTCTTGGTTATAGATAGACTAAGGCATGCAACACTATTTAACAGCAATGTTCCATCAATAAAATAAAACTTAACTTCAAGTCATATACTACACAAAGTTTTTCCATATGAATACTGTATTGTATACTACACTGGATATCTAAAACATTTTCTACTTGTAAAATAATCCTTCTCAAGTGATAAATAGTTTTTCTTTTTAAAATAATTATTAACCAATGGTATACTGCATTTTTCAATAAACAACTATATATCACAGATGCCAGTGAGTTATTGTAGTGTATATTACAATTTCCAGAAACATATTAGAAAAATTCCCAACATACTTGAAATGTTCTCAGCATGTATTACATAAATATTGCAAGCCACATATAGACATAATTTTCTGAAAATTATCATATGGTGGAGGGAATGTGTCTCTGTGAACTCAAAACATGTTCTGCCTGAAGCCTTCAGCCTGAACTGTGGAAACTGCGGTCATAAATAGCAAAGAGAGGAAAAAAAAAATCGAATCATCAGTATCACCTTTAGGATCCTTGCACCTGACCTTTTTCCCATTACTGACTTACTGTACCGTGTTCCACACTGTCTCTGTATGCGAATGACCATCTTGGAAGAAGCAGGGCTTTCCTTCCTCATGTCAGAGATGCCCCACTGATGAATGGGGATTTGATAACGGAGGGATTATACCTATCAGTGTTAGTGTAATCAATAAAGTATTGAATTGGGCTTTCTTTATTTAACATTTCTATACTCCTTATCAATTTTTGAGCCCTGCGTTACTTTAATGTAAACCCTAAAATGAGACCCTAAATTTACCTGTAACCTAAAGTGCTAACAATTAACCCCTCGTCCTAACATTCAACCTACCACCCCCCTCCCCCCCCCCAATATAAGCCTACACCAATTAAAATTGACCTTTACTCAAATGCAGCACTTTAAAAATCTACCTTTTTTCTAGGAATGTGACTGTGCCCAGGTAGACCTGTTCTGTAGCTTCATAGCTGTATATTTGCAGTGTGAGATCATATAAGGCACCACTGCATCTGACTGCTAGTCTCATGAGCTTTAAAGTGAGATCAAATGATGTCAGTACCGTGCTTCTGCTTTCTGGAGAGAAAGCTGTACCTGGAGATCTTCAGTGCAATAATCTACCTGCTCTTACTTTATTCAGTCTGTCGACGTATGCTTTTTCTACCTATCTGGCTGCTTCTTTATCATTATTGTACTAGATACCAAAGGGGATGTTTTGACGTGGGAAAAATAAAACCCCGCTCCTCCCTCCACACACCATATTTTCTTCTTTTGGGCACAGCATCCTCAGTACAGGTCCCCTTTAACTCTCTAAACACTAACCATAATACCAACTAAATTCCCTAAAACCCTGACTCTAATACACAGCTAAAATATACCCTACATTAATCCCCAGTGCTAAACTAACCCGTGCAGTAGAATGCTTTATCCAGCATCAGGAGCAGTTGTGCAAAAATGTACAATGCCTATCCCAGTATTGAAAACTAGCAACCCAACAGCTTGCATTTTTTGCCAAATAGGTGAGTAGGAAGATCCATATAATAAACACCCATGATAGTTGTATAAACATTTAAAAGTACCCCATTTGTTAAGGGGTTACTGGGACAACATCTAAAACAATGCCCAATTTCAAAGTTTATAGGTAAGAACCTGGTGCTTGGGATAGCCAGATAACAGTCAGGAAGTTTGAAAAAGAGGGGTGGAGTGCAGGAAGAATGAACAGGTAGGGTAGGTGGCTAGATGAAATAATCCCTTTTCATCTCTATTTAAAGTAGGTAGCCAGTGACGTTTGGAGTTTCCTAATCTCCCTTCTTCGGGGCTTCAAATAATAATTTTTCTGCCTAGAGAAGCTGCTGCAAAGACAAACAATGGCAGATTCTGACACAATGCAGGGGGAGTTTGGAGAAGAAGCAGTCTGATACCTGGTGTGTGCTAAGACAACCCACAGGGATGCATTCCTAGTAGCTATGTAATTTATAGGATACGTTCACCTTTTGATAAAAAATAATAAATGCACATTGCAGGTAAAAAAAAATGTGCATTTATAATTTTTTGTTTTGGGAGCCTGTAAAGCATAGCACTAGTGATCAGCAGATCGCTGGTGTCATGCAGGTCTCCTACAGACCTGTCAGTATATATCTATGTACCCATACGGGATGTATGGCAAGCAGATATACTGACAGTAAGAACCAATGAGCTACCACAGTGATCACAGCGTCATGATAGTTTCACTGAGATCTACACGCTGACAGCCGCTAAGGGTGTTCAAACTTTTAGTTGTCTCATTCACAGAGGACTGTGAATGAGTGACATGGCTGGGTGGGCGAAGCCCCGCACAGCCGCATTTTTTTTAATTTTGACAGCTAGTGGGGAGAAAAGATCCCCCACTAGCTGTCAAAGTGGGGAAGCGGGGGGGCCGGTCTATTCATTACATGTTACACCCTGAATATGGGTTGTGGTGTAACATGTCATGAAAGGTGAATTTCCTTTAAAATTAAAAATAAGCTGTAGTTCTACTTACATTTCAGTACAGTGCAGAATGAAAACAATGCATGTTAATCACAAACTTACCCTAATTGTATGTGTTCTTCCCCCAACTCTGTTCCGTGCTTCCAGTACTACAACATTAAGCCCTGATTCCACAAGCAACTTAGCAGCCGTAAGACCTGCAATGACATTAGTAGCAACATCAGAATACTTTGCTAACGTTTCTTTATAATGTTATATATTTTTTTTTTTCATAACTTTATATATTTCTTTATATATTTTCATATATGTTATTCTTTATACTGTCTGATTTCCACAATCAACTTAGCAGCCGTAAGGCCTGCAACGACAGCAGCAGCATCATCAGAATACTTTGCTGACATTTTCTTTATTACCCACCTTAGCATTGACTAAGACATGAAGGTAAAATTCTTGGCTGATAGATGAAACGTTTCCTTGTAACATTTTACATTCTTTTGCTACATTCCTCAGTAAGAGATATAGAAGAAATTAATAACACAGACAATTTTAAGTGATGGCTTCAGAACTAACTTCTCAGAATATCGGCCAAAATACATATACTAGCATACTCTCACTGAGTGGGCCAATAGTTTTAAAGTGTTACTAAACCATCAACAGTAAAATCAGTCAGTATATGCAGTAAAGCATGCTTGTTATACGCACTGTGGAACCTAAGAGGTGAATCCACCACATTTTGTAAAAACGCTGTTTGATCCTGACTTCTCTGATCCTCCCCTTCTTCCAGTGTTCCCCTCTTATCCCCTGATAAGACATTGTGTGCAGTCACTGTGCACATGCTCATTTTGGTGTGTATTGCTAGAGAGGGTTTTTTTTTTTTCTTGGGAGAGTGCATGTGACCAGTACAGGGCCAATCAGCACTGTCCAGGCAAAGGGTCAGGGGTCATGTGGCCTCATAAGACAATCAGAAGAGAATGAAAACTCCTCCTACAAGCTTTAACCAGTGCTGAGCTGAACACTGATAGAAGTCACAAGACTGTTCTAACTGCTGATGAGAAAAGGTATTTAACAGTTTATAGCTACTAACATAATTGCATTTCTATGTTCTGTGTACTGTGGGAGATTAGATATAGTGAACGCAGGGTCCCGGGTTTAGTAACACTTTAAGTGATGTGCCTAAGCTCACGCTTTTTAATTTGAATACTTTTATAAAAATACAAAGAATAATAGATATATGTATGTATGATTTTTTTTATAAATCCTGCTAGATGAATAGGAATCTGACACTTCCAGGAGTGCCGGATCCTACTATCTTCTGGCTTCTCCTGCAGCTGTCATGGCTTCTGATGGCAGTGCCTAAACCATTTGCCAACAGAACAAATTAATGTTTTACAAGCGTTACATAAACTTTAAAACAAGCCATCACTGATCTCTGTAGCTGCAGCCACTGTGCATTGATTTCTTATGAAAGATTTCAAGCAAAGCACTGTAGGGCTACATGCACATGCATGAAATCCTGGAGTTTTCGTGCACCTGTAAGGTACAGGTGCAACGTCCATCCCCACTGCCAGCAGCCTGTCAAAATCCATCACTGGCTGAAAAATAAAGTGGCTGAATGCAGTACCAAGTGGTACTTAAGGGAATTCTGCATTCTTTGCAAAAACCCTGTCTGCATATAGCCCTAAACACAAGTGCCACTGTGTATTTCAACCTACTGTAGGTTTTGGAAGGCTGCTGGCAGCAGGGTAGACACTGAATTTGGCCTTACTTTCTCTCTGTAGCTCAGCTCCCCACCACCAGCTGTGAGTTGTCAGTGCAGGAAGAGGGAAGGAAGAAAAGTGCTTGGAACAACATCTCTGTTTTTATTGTGATTTTTAAAAATTGCTTCACAGTGACTGCAACTACGAAAGTAAAGGAGGGCTTATTTTGCAGATTATTGTTTGATGAGAATATATAAATTATTTGAAGGTCCATATGCTACCTTAAACATTTCTTGCAACTACTAGGACATTGTGGATTTCCGTAGAGTGAGTAAATTACATTTATGAATTGGAAACCTTACTATCAAACACAGAGATTTTCTCACTTGGAGATCCTCTGAAAAAGCAAGCTACAATTATTACATTTTGAATGTAGAAAAAGGAACAGGATTGTCAACGCATGTGCACTACATTCACTACCTTCCTAGCTGTGAGGACGTAAGGACTTTAAAGCCCAACTGCCCAAGTAAAGCCCCCCAAAATACTATTGCATCCCCCCCCATATTTGAAAGGGTTAAAGGCTTGTTATGCCATAGGGCTGCCAGATAAAAAAGAGAAATACCTTATTTCTCGCTCCAGCAGTGCTACCTGGGTTGCTGCAGCATCTTCTCCAAAGCTGGCCATAGATGGATATGGATTTTGTTTTAGGTAGGGTTTAATACCGCTTTAACAGTTGCATACTGATGCTGCTATATTTGGTTGGGGTATCTAGGTTTTTTATCTAGGCTTCATGGCCATGAATTGGGTTAACAGCCAACTAGTGGAAAAAAAAAATCACCAGCTGTTGTAACAAAACTACGGTAGTATTTTTGCAAAAAAAGGCCCAACCATTATCAACCAATGCTGTTTAATCAGCCTGACTCTGCGAACAGATTCTCAGGTTATGTTAGATACAAGGTATTTTAGCAAACAATAATGAGCGCTTTAATCAGTCTGATAGCGATAATAATTGTATCCTAATCTCTAACAATTGGTAAACACACTCTAGGTGTATGGCACAATCTGCCTGCCTGACAAAAGACATACACTTTTCACTCACCCTTACCTTTCCCACATAAGTCTAGGTTCACACCTATGCAGGTTGCGTTTGAGCCGTTTCTGCATTGCGTTTTGTGTTGCGTTTTTTATACTTGTGTATACTTTTTTAATTTTATGTTTTTTTCTTGTTGCTAGGCAGATTTTAAACACAAAACACATCACAAATCCATGAAAAACACAGCAAAAATGCAATACATGCTTTTCTGCAGCGTTCCCATTGAAGTATGTTGAACCAAAAACACAACGTTTTGCGTTCAAAAAAGTCCCTGACCCTTTCCAAAAACTGCACCCAGTGAAAATGCAGAGATGTGAGCCTGTCCCATAGAAAATTATGTTAAAAGAATTGTACTGCGTTTCTGCAAAAAGCAAAGCAATGCAGAAAATGCTTAGCTGTGAACCTAGGGTAACGCATGAAATAGTAACCAGTGCTTGTGTGCTCATTTTTTATATGTAAGGGTGCTCAAGAATTCAAACCACGATAATTGGCTGCTGGAGGAAGGGAGCAAACCTTTTCCTTGATGAGAGAGAAAATTAGGGTTTAAATGATGTAATAGTTGTAACTCGGATGGATAAGGCTACTGTCACTCTGATCCGTAGCAAAAACACATATGGGTTTTTACAGCATTTCTGCTGTGTTTATTTACAGGACATGTGACTCAAAAACCGCACCAAAAATGCAGAACTGGTAAGTTTTTGATGTATTTATGAGGCATTTTTGCCACATGTTCCATTAATTTCAATGAGGAGGTGCGTTTTGGTGAATCTTGACCAGTTCAGCAAGGACTGGACAAGATTTGATCTATGGGCAGGCTGACTGTATGTAAGTCGATCCATCAATTGACTTGCGTTCAACCAGCATGTTGGATTTTTAGCATGCGATTATTGAAAGCAGCTAAAGCCACTAGCAGTTATCATTGTGTTTTCCCGGCAGGAGCTGCTCCCCACGGTTAACCCCCCCCCCCCTCCACCAAGAGAACACAAAAGACCCACGGGAGGAATTCCCCCATCCACACCAAGTCTGTTGAAGGGGGAATCCAGTGATTTTCTTTCTTGCAACCATAGATAATTTTCTTAGAAAAAAAATGTTTAGATGTACCCTACACATCCAATGGTACCATAAATAATATTTTATTAAAACCAGTGTAGTTCTTCATTATGTCAGCACTTACCAACTATCATCCAGTAATATAGGATGATTGTATCTTTGGCTCTATCTCTTCAGCTCATGGAAGAATTTGTGAATTTTTCAACTGGGTCTGGAATGTCTAGACACAAAATGAATTGCTAATTGGTCACATGATGGTCAGTTCATTTAAGACAAGGGCTCTTCAGTCTAAAAATGGGCTTCACACAAAAGAAGTGCAAAATTCCGAGAGAACAACTCAAGACTACTAATAACAAGTACTGCAAAAACAGAACAGCACTTCAAGACAGTGCCAGAGCTAGTTACCCATAAACATGGAAACAAGAAAAACATAAATCCCGATGACTCAAAATCTTGTTTTGTAATATTGTGGAATAAAGAATATGCAAACCCCAACATTTCATATTCCTGATATGTGCCTGCTGTACTATGTACTTGTATGAAAAATTATCCCCTTTCCTATTACAGTAAAGCAGAGTTCTGGCCCCCAACACCTCCCCAAAAAAATTAAAAGTCAGTAGCTACAAATATTGTAACTGCTGACTTTTAACAGTAGGGCACTTACCTGTCCATGCAACCAGCGGTGTCCTTACCAAGAGCCGATTCTTCAATCGGCTGTCAGGCGCTGGACTAAGGGAAACTGGCAGTAAACACTTTCCTACTGCACATGGAGGGGTCTCCAAACTTTCCAAACAAAGGGCCAGTTTACTGTCCCTCAGACTTTAGGGGGGCGGATTGTGGCCAGCATGGGGTAGAAAAAAGTCTCAGGGCCAACATCAGTGAGTAAACAAGGTCTCAGGTGTGGTGTTCAGCTGCATAGTGCTTGTGGTCAGTAGGAGGAGTAGTGCCCTATCATTGCTATCACTGGAAGGAACATTGGCCCATCATTGATGTTAGTGGATGGAATAGGGCCCCATCATTGATATTAATAGGAAGAATAGTATCCCATTGTTGGGGGAATTATGCCCCACTTTTAGTGTCAGTGTTGGGAAACATGCCCCAAGGGCTGGATAAAGGCTAGAAAAGGGCCGCAGTTTGGAGGCCACTGCTCTAGGACCTTGGAAGTGTCCTAGAGGGCTCAGTTCGCCGAAGCTGTTCAAACCAGGTCAAAACCTGGTACCCGCCCCCCATCAAAAGGTGCCAAATGTGGCAGCGGAGGAGGGGGGGAGGGAAGGCAGAGAAGTGGAGCTTCCAATGTTGGGTGGAACTTCGCTTTAAAACCTGACCACACTAAGCAGGTGAGCACAGCCCGGTCAGT